CGCCTGCCATTTTCCTCGCTGCAGCTCTAACTTCCGAAACACCCGTCTTCCGACAGGACTCCACACTCCGGCCAGAAAACCCCGTCCTTGACTGCGCCGTCTCGGAGTCACTGGGCACCGTAAACGAACCTGCCCGTTTCCTCGGCATGGCAAGGATGTCCAGTCGGGAGAGCTTCTTCGTCTCCGTGGACTGCTTGGGGCCTGGAGCGGTGGCTTCAGGGTTGGAGGCCGTTTTCTCAGCATCGAGACATTCGTTGTCCGAAGCATCTCCCAGCCGGGCACGACGTAGCTTTGAGGCCCTCGTGGGCCGCGGGGTGGATAAACTGTTGGAGCGGGTAAGAACTTGCTGGATTTTCTGCACGTTTGAGGTTGTTTTGTTCTGGTCCTCCTTGGTGGCCTGAGTAAAAGGTTTCCTTCTGGGAACCGGCCGGGATACTGAGTGCTCATGGTCAGACACGACCGCATCAGGGACCGGCAGGTAGGGCAAGCTCGAACTTCTCTCGTCATCCGTGAAGTCGAGTGACCCTCGAGTCCCAGCGCTCCGCTTCATCTGGAAGCGTTTGGCGGCCTCCGCACGGTTTGGTGTCTCCGGTGCTTGCGTTTTCCGCTTCTCCGTCAGCCTGTCCCGAGCGCTAGGCTGCCCGCACTGGTCCTGGATGGACGGCGTGGAGGAAGATTTCTCCTTCTGCAAGCTCACGACTGCTTTGCGTTTCGGGGCGCCCGTCGGGACGTTTTTGCCGCTCACCAAGCTGACTGTGCTGGCAGTGTCCACATCCGAGTCCCCTGACAAGGAGTCCTCCAGCTGACCAGCAGTTTCTGAGGGCTCCAGCTGTTGACTTTGACCAAGTAATTTGGCTTCCAGTGCTGCCAAGGCGGTTTCAGTGTCCTTAAGGAGAAGATGAGTCTCCTGACCAAAGTCCATACGAGTTGACCGAACAGCCTCTAAATCTTTAAGCAGAGGGTGACTTGAAATATGCGGGAGTTTATTTTGAGGAACACCACTGCTTGATTTATCTTTGGTAAAACTTTCCTGTCTAACAAAAGATGATGTTTCTTTTCCTGCCATGTTTTCTTGATCTTGAGGAAGACTCTGATGAAGGGAAATAACCACTTTTCCAGCTGCATTTATGTAAGCACTAACGTCTTTGACTGGTGGCTTTCCAAGAACCGGTGTGCCGGCAGACTTGAAGGAAAACTCCTGATCCTTACCGTCTTTGTCTGCTCGAGCATGGGACATGGTCAGAGAGAGCTTAGAGGGAATCACTACATCGTTGCTGTCATCACCAATGTAGAACGAAGTAGAAACTGGCTCACTTACAGCTCTCACGTTTGAGACCCGGGGAGCTCCTGGCTGTCGGTTCTCTAATCTTGCGTCTTCTCCCATCTGCTCTAGCATTTTATTGTTCTCTTTATATTTCTTGCCTTTTTCCATGCTGAAGCCATCGTCAGATCTGCTGGCATCGCTGAGGCTATCTGGATCCAAGTCTTCTTGAATGAAGAGGCGGCTGCTGGGATCACCATAGGTTTCCACACAGTGGTCCCTCACGATAGTTCTCTTGGTAACCTCAGAAAAGGACTCCTGGCAAACCAGGACCGTGGGTGTGGGGCTGTCCGACTTATCGCTTGGTGGCAGCTGGGGAAGAAGACGCCTTGTTCTCAAGGGCACAACATTTTCTGGTTCCCCGGGTTTGGGGGCTACGCTGCTTTCTGAAGAGAGTCAAGTGGACAAGAATCAACTGTTGTACAACTATACCACTTACTTATTTAGGAAGAGTTTGATCCTGCAAAGTGCAAGTCCACAAAAGCACTCACAAGACACATGCTTAGAACTAAGCTTTTATGTAATATGAACATCAGTAGGGCCTGGCTGGTGCTCAATCCCTCAGGTTTATCAGTACAGACACTACACTTAATACCTTTGCTGGATCAGAGTGCTCAACACCTTCCCTCTCTCAAGGCAGGATTTCATATTCCCTCTCCTATACTATACCTCTCAATACAAGCATATACTTGAGAGGCTAACAGCCTGGCATCTATCTACCACAAATCAGGCCACAGGAATGAGATGAAAAGCCATCAGACAAACCACTGCAGTGATGCAGTGTTTTAAGTGACATTCTACACAACATAGCGAATTGACTAAATAGATGGTGGTTTTCACAGTACAAGTTCTCATACAATTATATCCCACCGCAAAGTCTCAGGAGAAAGACCCTAGAACAATTAAGAGGCTCTGAATTAGAGATCACCACCCCAGTGTGGGTCAGCTTACCAGTACGGACACGCTTCAGAGAATGAGCGCTCTTACTTTTCCCCCATGCTGCTGGCTAGGACTTCATATCTGATACCACCTTTAAATACCAGGATAACTGGTTTTTTGACTATGGTAATATTTCAAACACTCTGGGAGTCAGGTTCTCACACAGTGTGAAAACAGTGGCAGTGACCTCCAAAACAAAGGTTTCTTCTAATCTTTACTGTGTCTATCTATAGCTGTTGATGGCATGACAGTAATGACAAATATTTCCAACAAAAAAAGGGTGAAAATGTTTACAGAAGTCAACAAAGTGCTGTTCTCCCTTTCTCGCATACCAGCAGGACCTGGGAGTCCGTAAGCTGCCTTCCAGCTACAATGGGAGCCTGATCTCCTTCCACTCCCCTCTCCCTTCCATACCCAGTTTTCTACACTGATCTCCACGCTTCAAATCTGCCACCCAACAGCAAACCCCAGAACAGCCTAAAATTTTCAGCACAGCCAGACACAGGAGAGGCACGCACAAAAAAGCACAAGTCAGCAATTAACTCTAAGACAACTTGCAAAGGGCTTTCATCTGGCATCATAATGCAGTTTAAAGAATCACTACTCTGGGCTAGTTAACATCCAAGGCCCTTACAATCTTTCTCCTTCCCAGGTGCCCTTTAGTCATGTCAAACGTTAACAATTAAGAATCTCTTGGATGACTCTGAAAAGCAAACCAGAGGCTCCCTCCATCTTTATTCCACCAGGAATTATTCACTCTGTCCTTCCCATCCCCAAATACATTAGCTAGAAAAGAAAATAAGCCACAGCTAGATGCGCAGAAGCCCTTAATTTTTGCTTTTTATATCATCCTGACTTAGATTCAGCCACCTTCAAACAGTAATGTCAGGGTAAGACTTACCTGCACCTCCATCACCCTGCCCAGAGACAGATCCAGAGTCAGAGTAACTGTCCGCAAGGCTCGCCCACCTAGACACCCACTTCTGACTCCCTTGAGATGCTGCAGACATCTACAACAAAGTGGGGAAGGCAGTGTCAGTAAACCAAATCCTAGCTACAAAATCTCACCTCTCATACACACATTGCTCAGTCTCCTCAAAATGGAAATCAATCTATACACCACATTTCCATCCAGTCAGAAAACCCATCTACACCTCCACCATCACAGCAAATCGACCTGGAGTGCCTGTACCTGCGCATCAGCCTGAGACCCACTTGCAGCTTTTGAGGCAAATGCCTGGAGCAAGGGTGACTTCTGACTAGTGCCATTTTCACTGATTAGATGCTGATGAGAACCGGAGTCATCTTTTTCACCTTTAATTACTGGTCTAAAGGCTGAAGAGATTCTGGAAAATTCAGGTGACTCAAGAACACCAAAAACCTGAAAAGCAGTTTGCATAGGAAAGATTAAAACCCAAGAAAACAGAAAAACATTACCCCAAAATCCAAATCCAGGAAGCGTTAGTCACACACGGTGTGATGATCCCAAGGGCCAGAAACACTTGCCAACGCTTCCACACTAACTAATTCTTTTCATCTCTACTCCACTGTAGCAGCTTTAAATACACTTATTCATAGAATCCCACTCACGCCCACCTTTCCTCTCATCCTCATTATTTCGGTGTGTTGCCTTTAACAGTAGTAACTTTCACCAAGAAAAGGAGTCCCTTTTCAGCCATGAGAAATTTAGGATGAGTCAGGAAAGCCATTTAACAGCTAATTCATGGAGAATTAGAAAAAGCTGGGAAAGCTCCACCTCCAGGGCCTTTAATAGTAGCAGCAAGTGGGCTGGGCAAAGCAGCCTTGCACTGCCGCGTGAAGACCTGGGAAAGGATGCACCTCAGAAACTGGTGAGTGTTTGAGCTGGCTGGCGAGATTCCCTTTGGAGATAAACAGGCTTTCCGAAGGGAGTGACTAAGATCCATGCCTCCAAAGGGCTTGTTTCTCTTCCCTGACTACAAGTAGTTCAGAGGAACATGCCATCAAGGATGGTACCTAGGCTGGGCTGAGATAGCCTTAAAGTTCTCCACTCTCACTTCTATTTTCAAAAAAAAGGTGCATGTGGTGGTGGTGGTATGGAACAAAAAGCAGTCACCTCAAAACCTCAGCAAGTCCAGAATTTCTATCATCATTCTTCCTGGACAGAAACATTGAGGTTCCATTACTAGCTGATTCCCAAGTGGCAGGTCTGCACTGCACCAAGTCTACAGCAGAGTCGGGAGCAGAAGATGGCCAGCTTGCCTGCCCGAGTCACACAGCTGCCAAGACTACTCCTCAGAAATAATTGTATTTTTGTGGCATTTTTCCTTGTATTTCCCCTTCAGAGCAGTTAAACATCTAATGTCAGCACTAGGGCCTTGCTGCAGCTTGAACACCCTGCCCTGAAAGCTTCCGATCACATTTCAAACAAGATGTAAGGAACAAGCGTAATAAACAAACAAATGAGGGAAGCTAGATCCAGGCTCACAGAACACTGTACAAAAAGCTCTAAAGCCAGGTTCAATTAAGGCTTCCTTTAAACCTCACCATCTTCCTGCCTATGCTTCATTAGATCTTCATAGCAACTTGCCAGTTTTGTTTTCATAATAGACCGCAGATGAACGTTAAACCTGAAAAATCAGCCAAACTTTGGTTTGCCCTGTGGTTGCTTAGCTGGGTGGGTTTTCTTTAAGCTTCTCCCTCATCTCTGGGGTTTTGTTTTTAGGCTATCATTCACTTTGCAAACTCCAAACAAGTACAGATCCATCTAGGATTGCCTCTGCCCTAGACCACACCCTTCGCTATCTCTACTAGCTGCCACTCACCCTGCCGGCAAGCACTCCCCTTTCCAACCAGGCACAGCCAAATTCAGGACCACCCACGACCAAGGCTTGTGACAGATGGAGATCACCCGCCCTCGGCCTGCCTTTCCTTTGGCCTGCCGCAGGACACTGTCAGCAACAGGGCGCAGCTCCTGTCTTCGGAACAGTGGGCAGGAGGCAACGCAATGCCAGGACAGAGGCTTGGGAGCAGTCTTAGAAAGCAAAGCTGCTCCCAGCCACGGCTCTCAGCAGGATTGGCCCCATCTTTATTCTGCTGTTGCCTCTCCTCTGAACAGATGGCAAGCCCACTCTTGCACTTTTGCATCCAAACCCTGTTTTGGAAGAAAGGCAACTCTCCGCTGTGGGGTTATCCTGCATTACTGCACTTTGTAGGGTTTTTGTTTGTTTGTAATTTTGTTGGGTTTTTTTGAAGACCAGCCTCTCATTTTTTTCAAGGCCCATCCTTAACACAGGTAACCCAGGATGATTTCCCACTCCTACACCCAATTCGAAAGCAAGCAGTCCTCCTTGGCAACAGCTAACGCAGCTGGGCCCTCCAGTGCAAGGCGCAGAAGCCCGCGCCATCCGCCCTTGGCGCACCAGCCAAGCGCAGAAAAGCACCTTTACCTGATCTATCATTTTTCGCGCTTCCTCCACCTCTTTATCCTGCGCCTCCGTCTCAATGGTGTATGTGCCCGTCTCACTGACACTGTCTTCCTCATCGTTCCTCCTGCCCTGGGCAGACTTTACCTCCAGTGGTGGAGCAGAGACAGACTCTGGTTCTGACGATATAACCACGCGTGGAGCTACCGGCATGGGCAGAGGCACCGGTTTCTCAGCATTCGGTTTCCCAGACTGAGCAGTCTCTCGCAAGTACTCGGCCATAAAATCCTGAGCCATTTTAGACTTCCTCCCAACGCTCCCGTAAGTTTTGCCTGACGCTCTGGAAGCGGAAGAGGATGAAGTGTTGATCCGATCCTCTGTCTTCTCCCTCTTGAAGGAGCTACTTCTCTGGGTCCCAGAGGAGCTGTTGTTGGGTTTGCCCGCCTGGGCCCCAACGTGGGACGGTGGCACCGCGTTTCCTGGCTTCTCTGCAGGCAACGCATTCTTGCGCTTTTCAACCTTGGTCTTCAGCCCTGGATCGGTGTCGCTCTGGGAGGAGTGAGCACTGTGCGTGAAGGACTGTGACCGCTTCTTCCGTGGCGTGTCCTCGAAGAACTCGATGACAAAGGCCTGCTTGTTGTGCAGCATCTCATGGGGATCACGCCTCATCTGGCGCTGCAGCCTGGCTTGCTCCGTCGCACGTTCACTGCCCGTCGTCGTCTCTTTCTCTGCCTTGGGCGCCACGGGGTCTTCAGAGTCACTCTGCGTCCCGTCCTCGTGCCTATTGCCTGGAAACAAGATATGGAGATTTGATTTTCATATTCTCAGTTGTTGTGTCCCTGTCATTACCTCCCAGTTGAAATTTATCCCTTCAGTTAAAAGAAAAAAATCCTATAGGATTAAACAACTCCAAAGACATCTGCTGTGGTACAGGGATTGCATCCCATCAGAGGAAATAAAAGGCGGCAGCTATCTCCTGACCCCCACTTTTCACAACTAGTTGGCTACCAAGTTATTAAAAAACAATTCCAGAAATTATTTCAACCCCAAGGGTTTCTGATTTTATAAAGTTGATTCTTTTAGACACCTACTGTTTTCTTTCTTTTTCTTTCCATTTAAATAAAAACGATGACATTATTTTGCCGTTCTGCCCAATTACTGCAGTTCAAGATGACCTCATCAGGTTCTCTCTGTTACAGAGCAGAAATATCTCTGCAGGATCAGTAAATAAACCCTGCAGCCTGCATCCCATGAAACCAAATCCCCACAATAAAAGACCAGATCAGTGCGTTACAAGTGCATGCACCTCTAGGCGCTCACGTTACCCTCCTCTACACAGGGGAAATAAACCAGAGGCTAGCAGAAAAGTGAATTTGCAGGATTCTTTACTTTTCCTGAAGATTGAAGAATCATGTCATGACACCCCCATTAATTACACCATCCTATCACCAGCCAAGCAAAAGCTAAATCATTACTTAGAGTTCACTAAGCTTAAAGTAAGTTTGTAATTATTTTCACTTATGTTAGAAACAAGCATCTTTACAACCTTCTCTATGTATCAGTGATGCCTGCCCCTCAGCACTTTAGTTCAGGACTCTCAGAAAGTAAGTTAAAGTAAAACAAAAAGTTAAAAGTAAAACAGAAAACAAACCTTTTTTTGGAGAAGGAAACGGGTGTGAAGGCACACAACACGATTCAGTCAACGACCAGGAACCTGTCATCGGGAGAACGGGGAAAGAGGTCTCTGCGCTCTAGACTGTAATATGCAGCAAGATATACTGGCTAAAATACCACGTGTTTGAAAGGAAAACTGCTCAAACCTACTTTGCAAGTTCTCCAGACACATGGATGAAGACCATTTATTACCTTAACTGTGAAAGATGAGAATTTAATACAAGATCCATTCAACCCAGGAGTCACTCCTCTGAAGAGTTTCCTAACACCCTCATGAAGGAAGCCAGCAAACTTTGCATTGTGCCCTGAAGGCTGATAAGCTTCATCCTTGGAAGGGAAAGTTCTTAAATTAAAGGGTTTTGACTAAGAACTCTGCTGAATGCAAAACGGTGAGGACACAAGGAAAAAACACCTACTGTGCCCATGGATGCCCCAGCAGAACACCATGCACATCCCCTCAAACTGCTAAGATCTGAACTCTCTAGTCTTGATACCAGGCTTTATATCCACCACATTGCTCTGAAAGTCAACAGACGTTACTAATGAACCCTGACAGTGGGAATCTCTGATCCTGAAGACCCAAACCTGGTAGGCAGCCAGTGGCAGCCTCCAAGACATCTTCAAAATTAGCCCTGCCAGAAGAACACGTTACACAACTATCGCAGATAAATGACACCCTGTCCTCTGCCAAAGCAGAGGTGGATAAACTCCTCAGGCCACCAACACTGTGTGTTTTAATCAAACGTCCAAAGAGTTGACTTCTTGATAGGCAAATTATGCATTAAATTACCTCAGCTTCTTTCTATGCCTTATGGACTGTAAAGAGGCAAATGCAGTCAGTCTAGTATTCCTATGCATCGTTCAGGAAAATCCTAGAATACGCAGCAGCTGCCCAACTCTCTAGTTTCCTCTGAGAGGAAAGAGCAAAACCACTGAAGCACATTTCTATCCCTGACAATGCTCTCCAGCAAGTCAACAAAATCCAATATCCCAGCAACAAAAAAACCCAACCCAAACCCCAAAGCCCTCTATCACACAGTCACAGCAGACTGAAAATAAGAAAAATTACTGAAAATAATTTCAGTAGACTGAAAATAAGACCCTAAATCATCAGGCAGGGCACCTCACCACTGTCCCTTATTGGGAAGAACTAGAAACAAGCAGTGACAACAAAACAGTACAATTTCGATGCCATGCCAAACCCAGGGCTGGATATGTGAGACATTTTAATCATAGGGGCTCCTCAAAAAACTGTATACAAAACAGCAAGTTGGAGGGGTAGTAGGTAAAACTCTTCCTATCACAAGGAGTTTTTTTCCAACAAGGACCAAGCAAGTATTCCTTTAAGGGAAAACAAGGTATTGCTCTCATTTAAGAAAGACCTCAAACACAATAGGTCTGGTAACTTTCAATGTGACTTCATTGGTTAAAGCTGCAGCTCCAAGCAATAGCTTTTCCAGAGGCCTACAAGGCAGTGAGGATGCAAGAAGCAGTGGTCTCCTCCTAGTTGTTCAGTGCACGGCCCAAGAGAGACATCCAAGCAAGCCCAAATCTTGCAAAGTATGTTCAGTCACGAGAATCATGGGAGTCCTACCAGCTGCACTGAGAACTGGGCTCCAAACTACACTTCAGACCTCTGAAAAACCCCAAAGAATTCCTCATATTGACACACTTAACAGAACACAGGTCCACAAAACCTGGAGTTTTTGAAGAGAGCAGGATTTCAGAGAAACTTTAGTTTAAGAGAGAAAACTTTGTTCTACAAGCGCAACAATTTCCTCCATTGGTGACCATGTATATCTCAGCTCTATCACCAGTCTCCATGTCAGGATCTTTGGTCATCCCACCAAGTGGCTCTGGTCATTACAGTCATCAGGATGACCACACTTAGCCTCTCTGGACTACAGCTACAAAGAAAAGTCATTCCTTCAATGAGGATGTCCTGGTTTCAGCTGGAATAGAGTCCCAGTTTTCTTCTTAGTAGCTAGAATAGCACTGTGGTTTGGATTTAGTATGGGATTTGGTACGAGAAGAATGTTGGTAATATATTGATGTTTTTATTTATTGCTAAGGAAATCAAGGACTTCTCAGCTTCTCATGTTTTGCCAGTGTGCAGGTGCACAACAAGCTGGGAGGGAGCACAGGCAGAGCAACGGACCCACAACTCCTAGTTTAGGATTTGATTTTAGGCACAAATTAGCAACAGAATATTCCATATCATGCAACATCATGCTCAGTATACAGATGAGGGTTGGCCAAAAAGGTCTCTCTTTGGACCACTCTTTGGGGCTCTCACTCTTCCGGGATTGTGGTGTGAGGACTTCTCTGTTTTGGGATCGCTAGCTGGGACAAGATGGGCGTTGGTCAGCAGGTGGTGAGCAGCTGCACTGTGCATCACTTG